TTTTATTTATTTTGTATTCAGTTTATTATTTGATTATATTAATTTATTTTTTTACTTAAATTTAAAATGTATTAATAAATTATTAATTAAATGATCATTCAAATTTGAATTATATAAATTAAAATTATTTACTTTTTTTATTTAATTAAATTTATTTTAATTTATTTTTTTACTTTTTTATTTTTCTTTTTTAACTTTTTTAAAAACGTTTTTATTCTAATAATCTCATTTAATTTTTTATTTATTTTTATTTTCCATTCTTATTTTCCATTCTCTGCGTTATATTTTAAAAAAAATATTTTTCCATTCTCTGTCTTATTCTCTGTCTTATTTCTTCCATTCACTCAGAGTGCTTCAGTTCGGCTCATTGTTTGTGTTTTTATCCGTTATAAAACTTTATATCAGTTTTATACCGTCTCTTATCTGTTGTAAAAGTGTGTTTTTCCTCTTTTTTTGCTCTCTCTCCTCTGATTGGCCGGTTCCTCTGTTGGTCTCAGTTGGGGAAGAACATCGAGTCCATCACTCTGATCTACGACTGCGAGGGTCTGGGGCTGAAACACATCTGGAAACCAGCGGTGGAGGCCTACGGAGAGGTACTAACCCTAACCCTAACCCTAACCCTAACCCTAACCCTAACCTTAACCTTAACCCGAACCCTAACCCGAACCCTAACCCTGGGGCTGAAGCACATCTGGAAACCAGCGGTGGAGGCCTACGGAGAGGTACTAACCCTAACCCTAACCCTAACCTTAACCCGAACCCTAACCCTAACCCAAACCCTAACCCTAACCCTAACCCTAACCCTAACCCTAACCTTGGGGCTGAAACACATCTGGAAACCAGCGGTGGAGGCCTATGGAGAGGTACTAACCCTAACCCTAACCCGAACCCTAACCCTAACCCAAACCCTAACCCTAACCCGAACCCTAACCCTGGGGCTGAAACACATCTGGAAACCAGCGGTGGAGGCCTACGGAGAGGTACTAACCCTAACCCGAACCCTAACCCGAACCCTAACCCGAACCCTAACCCTAACCCAAACCCTAACCCTAACCCTAACCCTAACCCTAACCTTGGGGCTGAAACACATCTGGAAACCAGCGGTGGAGGCTTACGGAGAGGTACTAACCCTAACCCTAACCCGAACCCTAACCCTAACCCTAACCCATCACCAGGTCAGGGTTAGGGTTAACCTTAACCCATTGATACTCTTATTATATGGGAATGAAAATGAAAACAGACTTGTTTCCATTTTGTTTTGGACATATTCGTTAGGGTTAAGGTTAACCCTAACCCTAACCTGGGTTTGGGTTAGGGTTAGGGTTAACAGACCCCTGTTTGTCCTACACCTTTTAACAAAAAATAACGAGTTTCTGAATGGATTTTTTTGTAAATATTGACCAATTTTTCACCAAACAGAGGTTCAGATTATCGTAAATCTTCACATCTGTTAATCCTAACCCTAACCCATCCCCAGGTTAAGGTTAGGGTTAACCTTAACCCTAACCCTAACCCTAACCCATAACCAGGTTAGGGTTAACCTTAACCTTGACCCTAAAGGGCCAGGAGCCCGAAAGCTAGCGTGCTAATGGCAGCACATTTTAGCACATTTTAGCACATTTTAGCACATTTTAGCATGTTTTTGCCTGATTTTAAGGTTTTTTTAAGCTCTTTTAAGCGTGTTCTTCACTGTTGATGCACTGTAAAAAATGAAGCGCCATTTTATGCTTGTTTCAATCTTTTATTGTTGTGTTTTAATACACAGAAAATATTTTAAAACTTTTTTTTTTTAGCATATCAAGAGCTGACTCTTATTTAAAACCTTTTAACCACATTTTTACTTCCCTGTTGTCCACTTACCTGCAAAAAAAACCTGAAAAAATCTAAGCTCTCTCCTCCAGATTCTCACCATGTTCGAGGACAACTACCCCGAGGGGCTGAAGAGGGTCTTCCTCATCAAAGGTACCGCTCAAACCTCTGACCCGGTCTGACCTTTGACCCGGTCTGACCTGGTTCTGACCCGGTTCTGACCCGGTTCGGTACAGGTTCGAACCCTGTTCTGACCGCCGGTTTTCTGACCCGGTTCTGACCCAGTTCTGACCTTTGACCCGGTTCTGACCTGGTTCTGATCTGGTTCTGACCTTTGACCTGGTTCTGACCCGGTTCTGACCCAGTTCTGACCCGGTTCTTACCCGGTTCTGACGCGGTTCTGACCCGGTCTGACCCGGTTCTGACCCGGTTCTGACCTGGTTCTGACCCGGTTCCGAAACTGTTCTGCCCACCGGTTTTCTGACCCGGTTCTGACCGCCGGTTTTCTGACCTTTGACCTGGTTCTGACCCGGTTCTGACCCGCTCCGGACATCTGACCCGGTTCGGTACAGGTTCGGACCCGGTTCTGACCCGGTTCTGACCCCGGTTCTGACCCCGGTTCTGACCCGGATCTGACCCCGGTTCTGACCCCGATTCTGACCCGGATCTGACCCGGTCGTGACCCGGTCCGGCCTGTTTTCTGACCTGGTCCAGACATCTGACCCGGTTCGGTACAGGTTCTGACCCGGTTCTGACCCGGTTTTGTGTGGTTCAGCTCCCAGGATGTTCCCCATGGCCTACAACCTCATCAAGCACTTCCTGTGTGAGGAGACCCGGAGGAAGATCATCGTTCTGGGAGGTTAGTTCCACAAAGTTATGATTATTATACGGAGGGTTTGTTTTTGTTTTTTTGATTTTTTACTTTATTGCCTTAAATGCGGGTTATCAAGCATTTAGCATCATGGAGGTGAACAGAAAGAGGCAGGCAAACATAAAAGATAAATAAACACAAAAAAATAATAATTATAATAAAAAAAAATAATAATTGGGTCTACTTTACTGTAAAGGGTTTAGCACATATTTTAAGTTCTGTACTCCAGGAGAACAGGGTTATTTTAGATGTAAAGAAGCCTTAATAATAATGATTTGGTAAAAAGTTTCCAAAACAACATTTACATTTAAAAATGAAAAATCCAACAATTCTGTAAATAACTTGAAAATGGGTCTGTGAATAATCACAGATGGTCCTGAATTATGTAACCTATCTGTAGGATTTTTAGTTAGATTTAAATGATTAGATAGATAATAAAATATTTATAAACAGTATTTTGAATCAGTTTAGTTTGTGTAAAATGGCACAAATCACAGCTCATTAAAAAGGAATTTAAAGACAATTAAATCCAATTACAATGAAAGGAATCATTTAAATACATAATTTCTCTTTAGATGAAATAGTCAGAGAACTTTAAAGAGATTCTGCTGGTTTGGAGGTTGAGGAGCAGTTTTTATTTGTATTTAATTGGGTTTTGTGTCAGTTTAATAACTGTTTTTATTTGTATTTATTTGTTTTTTGTGTCAGTTTAACTAACTGTTTTTATTTGTATTTATTTGTTTTTGTGTCAGTTTAATAACTGTTTTTATTTGTATTTATTTGGTTT